CTCCAAGTGTCCTTTTTTTCTTTCTTACTTTTTTTTTCTTTTTATCTCCCTTGATTTTACAATCTTCTCCCTACACTCTCAGGTTTCAGTCACGGTAGGATTCAGATTCTGCCTAGGTTTGCTTGATTTAGACTTTTACTTCACTTATTCAGTTTTCCTTTGCAATGAAATTCCATCTTACACACACATTCATGCAAGCTCCGGGCTATATTTCAAGGAGTTGAAAAAAAACAAACTTGTCTTCCTTTCAAAGTTTCTTTTTGAAACAATTTTATGTTCTACTTCATTAATTAATGAGTTGAATAAATTTTGCACATGTTTAAAAAAAAGAACAATTCTTTAGATACTAATGGACAACTGTTCTCATTTTAAGGTTTCTAAGAATCACTTGTGGCCACAAATTTATATTTTTAATAAGTACTTCTCGAACTTTGAGAAACACAGCCACAGAATTTAATGTTAGAAAGGTTCCCACCCCTGATGCAGAGCCATTAGTCCATAAAGAGCAACTCCCCCTTGAACTGAAATAAGAAACTTGCACAAAATTGCAGGTAAGCATTTTAAAACTCCTTAGTTAGCCTTATTTCCTTCCATATTATAAAAAAAAAATCAACGTTTGCAGATATATCCTCAGTTTTACACACAGTCCTCCAGATGTTAGGAAAGTTTCCTAGAGTATAATGGAAATAGCACTGGGCTGCCAATTTGGGGACCTGCAATCAGCTTCCACCCATGAGCGATTTCACCTTGGGCAAGTCACCCGACACCACACCTCAGCCTCCTCAGCCATAAATTAGGTGATTGGATTGCCTTATCTCTGAGGTCCCATCTAACTTGAAAATTTAACAGGAGAACTAGCACTGTGCTTGCGATTCTTTGGATTCAAATTATATTTCATTAGATCTAGGACTAAACTCCTACCAGCAAAATGAAAATGATTTCAGAGGAAGATGACTGATACAACACTGCATTGATATCGCAAAGTAAAGCAGACAAAAGCATGAAACAGCCCTGGCTGGTTTGGCTCAGTGGATGGAGCGTCGGCCTGCTGACTGGAAGGCCCCAGGTTCGATTCCAGTTAAGGGCATGTACCTTGGTTGCAGGCACATCCCCAGTGGGGGGTGTGCAGGAGGCAGCTGGTCGATGTTTCTCTCTCATCGATATTTCTAACTCTCTATCCCTCTCCCTTCCTCTCTGTAAAAAATCAATAAAATACATATTTTTTAAAAAAAAGCATGAAACAAATTTCATGCTTTTCCAGGCAGTAGAAAAACCTTCTGAAAAATTCAGAACCAACAGAACCAACTTCTAATTCAGGCTTTATCATTTACTATATTAAGTCAGGAAAATTAATTGCTCTCTCTTAGCCTCCGTGCAGTGACTTTTTCATAGGGCTATTGAAATGAAATATTGTGCAGAAAGTCCCTGGCACAATGGGGAACTCAAAAATTAACACATGAAATCTCTTCCCATTCTCTCCTAGTGATGTGCCTTTTCTGGAGTTCCCAGTTCAAGATCGTCGCAGTAGGCGATTAATAATTGCCTCGGACATAATTGTTGCAATTCTCTTCTAATAACAACAGCTACCATTTTTCTTAAATAATTCCTATGTGTTAAGTGCTTTAAAGATGTTAGCTCACTTAATCCTCACACCAACTTTAATTGTAAAAGACTGGAACTGCCATTCTTCAGATGATAAAACTGAAGCCTGTTGAGACCATGACTGCCCAATGCCACACAACCACTAACGAAGGGGCATTCATGTCGCCTGGCTTCAGAGCCCAAGCACACCAGGCAGCCCTGCCTATTTATACATTTCACACACAATAGCAAAGACACGTGAATGAAGAGCCCACGCTCTTTTAACAATCATTCTCACGTAACTACAAGTTTAGACTGAGTCCTCCTAGCAAAGCTGCCTGTGAAAACCTGTCCTGGGAGATCTGCCCACACACCATACTCATTAATCTACTCTCATAAAAACCATGGGACTGATATTGATCTATGAGTTATGAAATGTATGATCAGGAGCTTTGTTTCCACCAGAAAGCCATCCAAACTGAATTCGATGAATTTTTTTTTAAGTTTTCAGTTAATATCTCAATTTAAGAACTATTGATTTCCTGCCTTTACTGGATCAAGATGGAAAATAACATACCCCATAGTCAATGTGGAAAAGATAGAAACAATAAAGGACAAAGAAGAATTTTTAATTCTTAAAAAATAGAAGGTAAACACCCCATTAACTCTCCAAGATTTTGGGGCAAAAAGAAAAAGCAAGTTATTAAAGGATACGGACACACTCAGAGAATACACCTCACCCCAAGACATCAATGAGAAGATGGAAGAAGTCTTGGCACCACAAATAAATAGTGCCTCCAGACCAGAAGGCACTCGCCAGGAGATGTCCTATTCTTTTATACAATAGAAGAGTTAAATCATGTGCCTAGTTCTATTCATTACAGAGATGATAATGATGAGATTGGCAATATAAGGTGAGATGAGGTTGGTGGTGGTGATAACGACAAGTACACCTGAATGTCTGAATATCGCCACTAAAGAGGCATTAATACATCTTTAGAGAACTGATTAGTAGAAACACTTTTTCCAACAGGCTTGGTTGCTCAAAAAAAACAACCCATAATTGATCCCCAATAAATGTAGAATGCATTAAAAATGAAGCAATGAACTGTAAGTAATCAACGCTGCTAGCCCCAAGGATAAAAATGCAAGCAAAATTTTCCCCGTGTTGCCCAAAAAATAAGTAAACTCTTCCTTGAGGACAAGCCATGATTTTTTGCCCTTATTCTACAATAGGAATCCTTCAGCTATTACTTTTTCTGACACAAATTAAGCAAGAAATGCATTCAGGTTATGGTGAAACACTGCCCTGCTCCAGGAATTTCTAAGACTAGGACCGCTAGAAACAGCCGCTCAGAAACAGTTCCCACCCTTACCCAGCTCTGCTAGAAGATGAATCTTTATTAAAATCAACCTTTTCTTGGAAGGCCTAAGAAAGTGATGAAATAATCAGACCTAAAATGTATTTATTTGTGTTTATGTAGTTAAGGATAAAAATGAATCCTAGGAAGATCCAGACCCCATTAGTTTAGAAGTCCTCTTTTATCTACGTGTAGTTACAACTGGAGAAGTCAGATAAAGCAAAGGATGTGAATACAAGAAGGGAGAAATGTCTTGATCCTTAACTCCTCACATTCCAGGAAGCATCTGCTCCGAGAACAATGACTCGAAGCCTCTGATAACAGAATAACATTCTCCTGTCAAAGAGGGACCACACTCCCAGCGATGGTGTTTCCAATGAAACTGTGTATTAACAGTCAAAAACAGCCCCTGAAAGAGCAAATTTTCTCTTTTTCAAAAACTCATTCGGCAACTAGGGTAGCTGTTAATAAATAATAATAAATGTGGAATTACCTTAAATATTGTCTACTGTGACTTAGTATTTCAATATTTTCTTTAGCCATTATTATAAAACAAGGATTCATTCACTTTTAGAAATAATGGTTCAATAATGAAAATAGAGGTCTGCCTCCATGTAAGAAAGAAATGATGCTTTCTGCATCTTCTTCAGTATTATGACATTATATATTACTTATAATATTAACAGCTGGTGTTTACTGAGTGCCTAACAGGTGCTAGATACTGATTTTAACTTGATACATGCCCTGAGAATTAAATTTCATTATCCCCATGTTACAAACAAGGAAATTAAAGCTCAGAACAGTTAAGTAACCTGCCCAAGATCACACAACTAGTGCTAAGGCTCAAACTCGGAACTTAAGCTCTAATCGACATTTCCAGGGAAACAAGACTTCCCTTTTTTCCTGATATTCTCCTATGAAAGACAAAGTGGCCTAGTCCCTGCACACATTACCTCTTCCTGACTCCCATCCCAAACATACACCTAGTCAATCAACTTCCAGTGGAGAAAGAACCACAAATATAGGTCAACTTTGATTTTATCTCATTTCCTAATGCTGTTAATTCCTCTATGCTGGTAGAGGATAAATATTTATACAATGAATTATGGTAGAATCCTATCCATCCTTCATTATGTGCCCTACATAATTTTTTTAAATATAACTCTTAACATTTATAAGCATTTGTGCCTCAATTTCTGGCCACTGACTAAATCTAAACAGCTTCTGGTTAACAGCGTTTATATTTGGGTGGTAGGATGATGGGTGATTTTGGCTTATTGCCTTTACTTCCAGTGTTTATCGGGTTGTAAGTACTGACCATATATTACTCTTTCAATTAGAAAAATATACAATAAATGCTATTTTGATGAAAAAAATATTTAAGTATTTACTCCCTAAAAAAAAATTATTTTTCCCTTACTAATGAAAAAGAAGACATTCATTGACCCAATTTAATTCTGGGCCAGGTAAGAACATAAACTTGAAACAAGAGATGTAGGTTCTTTTATAAATGGCTCCCACTTTTACATTATCTTTTTTGTTACTTTAAAAATTAAGAAATATTTCATAAAACTGGATTTTAGCTCTTGTGTTGCTCTTCAAAGTTGCTCTTCCCAGAGGCCTATTTAGTAAAGTACTCTACACACACTAAATATGGGTTAGTGTCAGACTGTTAACTATATCCATTCTTCTTCAGGGCACACATGTGCCTACATTCCCCAGTCTCCTTTGTAAATGTAGCCATTGAAAGAGGAGCAGAAGCTATATGAGCCAATTCTAGATCTAGCCCATAAAAACCTCCCCACATGAGAAAATCCATGTGCTTTCCCTGCAGACTTGGAAGCTACTTGTTAATGATGATGGAGCCACAAGATGGAAGGAATCTGGGTCTCTGAATGGCCACTTGGAAGAACACCCAAAAACACCATTTTGGAATTTGTGAAGTAACAATTAAAAATATATTACGTGAGCCATTCCAAATTTGAGGTTTCACAGGGCTTTATTAACATATTCCAATTACCACAGAAGAAGGGTAAAACTCGATGCTTTTTCTCTTACCTTTTTCAAAGACTCCTTCTGCTCCTGCAATAAAGGCGGTGCGGTTTCCTGTCAACTTGACCACCTGTGCCTTCACAGTGACCGGTGAGGGGCTGTGCTCCAGGAGATGCACCCCAATAGTAACATTTCCTCCAGGCCTGACGGTTCCTGGAGCTGTCACCAGAAACTTGGGTCTAAAGAATTCCCAACAAGGAAAAATACAAAGTTTTTTATCCTCCCCTCACCATTCTTTTGTGATCCTCAAATTTTATAGACAGTGAGACAGACCCCCTATATTGTGCCAAATGCAATTGTTCCAATTAATACTGCCCTGCTGCTCCATTTAGCAGCTACACTGAAATGCCATTGAAACAATAACTCCCAAAAATTAATTTTAATGCAATAATTCACGTACCACTAGAGTAGAACCTGTGTTATTACTTCCGAACTACAAACAGCACAGGATGAGCCTCCATGTAGATGGCTTACACTGGGGGCGTGCAGAAGTTATTGGCAATGTGCAAGCCTCTAAACTTCTATTTTACAGATGACCTCATCCCAGTGTGACTTTTTTTTTCTTGGCTTAAACACACACACACACACACACACACACACACAAGTACATACACACAGATTTTGCCTGTTTCTTATTCTAACATTTATGTTTGGGCATTTGCCCAAGAAAAGATCATCTAACCAATACTACTGACTGAAATATACCATCAGACATTAAACTATCAGTGGTAAAATTTCCAGGTGTAGCCGAGCATAAACAGCACTTTCTCTGCCTCAGCTAGGGGTGAGGGCTCAACTACAAAAACCTTGAGGAGTGGGGCACTTTCCAGTACTTGGGTGCCTCCGTAGTTACCTTTCGACAGCGTCTGCACCTGAACCACACATCAGCCACCCAAGACACACTTTGCCCATGCCAGAGGTTGAGAAAAACTAGCACCATTTGTCTTCGAGAGAAGAAGGCAGGCACATTATTTGGGAGCAAACAGCTGAGAAAATGCAGAGGCAACGTGGACTAAAAAGGACTCTCTTTAGAAAGTAGTTATGGCCAGGGAAACGCTTCAACAACTTTAAGAGTGAAGAAAATAACTCTCTCATGGAAAACCAAGCTGAAGGGACACATGGTAAAACCGCCAGGCCAGTGCCTGGCTGAGGGCTGCCGCCGCGGGGCACCACACGCAGACGAGGTGGGCGGCGGTCAGGAGCTGTGGGCCCCGCATCTCTGCAGCGTCTGCCCGGACAGCCCTGGGCTCCTGGGGAAATTCGCGGGCACTGCGGGGTGTGGCTTCCACCTCCTCCCTGGTGTCTGCCCCCCTGCCTCGAGTTGAACAGTCTGAAATGGGCGCGCCTGGAAGCGGAGTGAGAGATCTAAATTGAGACCGGGCTTGGTGGCTCCACCCCTCCCACCCGCACCACAATGGCGCTTCTCGCCGCTCTGGCAAACACCGCAAATCCAGGAGGGTCAGAAAGCGGACTCTAAATGAGGTCAGCCCAACCTGGGCCCAGCATCCCCGCTCCCCACGGAGCGCACCGGGCGCCCACTCCCCCAGCCCTCCGGGTTCCCCTGGCAGTTTACTCTAGCGCTCTACCAACGCTGCCAGGAGTGAGTAAACAGGCCCATCCTTGTGAGGAGAAATTCACAGCAGCTATGTGAAATGGAAAAAAATTAATCATTGTCCTCAGACTATGAGTCAGAATTTTAGAGAAATGACAAACACACAAACACACCAAACAGGGGTGTATTTCCTGGGTAGTTGTTTCATGTATATGAACGTGCACCAGAGAAAACTTTATTACCTTAAAACAAAAATCGAGGCGTATATATATATATATATATGCCTCACCAGGAAAATGTGGTTTCTCAGCTTATAAAAGAAGAATCCTGGCACATGCAAGAATTAGGTGTTGCTACTTGGAACTCTGAGAAACAACTGGGGAGATGCTTTATACTTTGGGCTGTGTCTAAACACACGTGCCAGAGGCAAGTATTCATTAGAACTGTAAAGCTTGCAGCAATTTGTATTTAACTAGGACTGGGGTAGCTCTCCTGTGCAAAAGAAGGCTAATGGCCCCCGTGCCCAAGGTTACTGATCTCCAGTTCCTCGCTGTCCTGGCTTGTCAGCAGCTCCTTCCCCAGCAATTTGGCACTGCCACCATCTTCAGATGAGTCAGGATTCACCATGACTACACCATAAAGGCAAGGAACTGCCAGAAACTGTTCAAAAGCAGGCACATTCAGTCCCGGACAACTTAAAGTTTCTAATTCATGGAGAAAAGTTTTAGATAGTGACTTTTTAATATGGGGCAAAATGCAAAAGGAAAAGAGGCAGCAAACGGATGTCTCATGACAAACTATGTGCTAAAAGGGGGAAAGTAGCACCTAGACACACTGTGGTTTTTGAAATCCAGGAACTTAACTTT